CTGCTTCCTCCCTTACATTTGAATAATACATACAGGTAGGAAAACCAAAATCTGAAAAACAGAGGAGGAGCAACTCCACAGAATTTTGCGTCATGCCCAGATACAGGATGGCTGCACTCTGCTATGTGTCTCTGAATATTCCTGGACAGGAAACAGTTTCCCACCCTGCAAAGAATTCCTAAATTTAACATTTTTTCTACCTCACACTGGGAAGAAATAAGCCTTTCAAGTCTTTTTTTGAGCAAGTGTGTGTGTGTGTGTGAGAGAGAGAGACCTGCATAACCTAAGTGGTTAAGTTTTGACAGAGATTCCATCTTGGACCTGAATCGTTTTCCTGAAAGAAGCATAATGGAAACCAGTATGTTTCTCTTAAAAGCTCCAACTTTGAAAAATCAGCATTTTCCAGAAAAAAAATTTGTGAAACCTCTGTCTTTCTAATCAACTGTTCTCAATCTGCTGGCAGAGACCCTGACAAGACTTAACCAGAATTTATCAGAAGTGGCGGGGTGGAGCTGTGGGTTTGCTTTGTTTCCTGCATTCACATTTACTACTTCGTAGCTTCTTGCTGAGATTGATGAAATATCCCATAAGCCTTTGCTTTGAGTCTGACAGCAACTTCTTTGAAGTACTGGGGAAACAGGACAGTGGTGCATGTTTAAGGAGGATGAGTTGTAAAAGGATGAGGCAAGTTTTGGGAAGACAAATGGACTTCATTTCTTGGCTTCAGTAACTGATGTGGTATATCCACTCACTGGTAGGTTTCTCTTTCAAAAATATAAAATGCATGTAAACACTGTACCAATCAAAACCAGCTCCTGCAATCTCATCTTGTCACTGTCTGTGTGACTGGGTGGAGAAGAAATGTTTTTGAAAATATCTAGTTGGTCTAATAAAATACACCACCTCTACCAGGAGTTCTGGTTCCTTTTGGGTGGAGAAGTGTTACTTTTATCAGAAGAAGGGCATCAGAAGAAGGGCATGGGAGCACTGCTGGCAAATATGCAACATTGAGTGAATAACATTGTGATTCTGTCAAGGCACAGAGAGCCTGCATGCTCCTGAAGCTGCCCTGCAGGTGACCCCTACTAACCTCACTCTTACCATTTCTGTCTCCTGCATACTTGAGAACAGTGGCAGCAGCTGCACTTAGGGCACTTTTCCCATCTTATTTCCAGGTTTGACATGTACAGAGCAGGAACATGTGGCCAGGGCATGCTTCTTGGCACTGCTCAGATGAGTGCTGCGAAGGGAGCATAGAGACATGCCCCAGTTCTATCTATATGTAGTCTGTTCTTCCTTTAGGAAAGGCCATGATGCAGATACCAAGCTTTCTTAAAAGGAGGTTGAGTCCTGTTTCAGGATTCTGCTTTAGTTAACAACTTCACTGTCTTTGAATACGTGAATGGCAAAGACATTTCCTCTTTTATGCTTTTACTCTGATTCCTCTTTTATGATTCTTCCTTTGCAGAAAATGCAGTGTTAACAAATTCTCTCAGCAGCATTTATTTGAGTGTGCATGCTTTTTATATCACTCACACACATACACACACACACAATGTGCCTGACTCAGCTTTCATATAGTAGTGGATGAATAGCCCTACACTGGTTTAATGCAGGAATAAATCCACTTTTCCATTTCAATGAACAGAGCTGCATCTTGATTATTCTGTCCTGGGCCCTGCCCAGTGAATTGCACATGTGATGTGACTGGGCAAGTGTTAAACTTTCATATTTGCATATATGGCAGTAGAAGGTCATCACCAGCCTCTGTATCTTCCATGAGCTAACCGTAGCTGCCTGTAAATATTCTTGAAAGAGCATGTACCTCTTTAAGCATGATCCTTGAAAAGGTAAGTAATGTATTAATTTTAATTTTGCTCTTTTTTTTTTTTCTTCTTTTTTTTTCTTTTCTTGTCTTTTCCTTGTCTTGTTCTTGCTTTGTGGTTGTTTCTGTTTAATAGCTGAACAGATTCTTTCATGCTTATATTTCCTTCTTGGTATCAGATGGGAGTCATTAAGCCCTGGATAACAGTACAGAAGAGTGTCTGGGGGCAGGCAAAAAGCATGAAAGGGGGAGAACTGGAAAGTTGGAGATAGCATATGAAATGGCAGGATGTTTATCATCACACCAACTCTTCTGAACAGTAACTCCCCCTTTCCAGGCAGTTTGTTACTAAAACTATAGCTTTTAACCCACAGATTGGGAAAATAATTGTCTAAGACAGTGGTTCTCAACCTTTTTAGACTTAAGACACTCTCAGTAGATTTGAGGCACACCTCAGAAGGCCTGAGGAACCCCTCAGAAAATACTAATTCTTAGTTTTCACATTTTTGACTATGGAAAAATAAAACAGCTCTTTTGCAAAAAACTCAAAAGACTACAACAGGTCAGAATGTTTTTAACACTATGGATTCCTATTTGGAATATCTAGGTTAATCTTGTGAGTTATGTTTGCACACCTAGCAGGGCTGACATTGTGCAGGACTCTGTGGCACCCTTGAAAGGATCTCAAGGCACCCTGGTTGAGAATTGCTGCTCTAACTTCTAACTAGTGCTACTGTTGTCATTTTACCATTTTGCTTAGTATTTGTGCCCTAGATTGTTGAGTTATGTTTGACAAACAGGGAATGATGGGTGAGTGGACAGATATGATGAAGCTTCCATTTCCTTCCTCCTCCTCTGCTGCAATGCGGAAGCCCTGTCTGTGACTTTGTCTGTGGTTTTTGCTTTCCTTAGGGAAGGAACTGCATTAAGAAAGAGAGACCATAACATTAATATTTGTTCTGATTGCTGTTTTTTTTCCCTTCAATTAAGAGCATGATCGTGCTCTATGTTTAGAGAAATATTTTTACTTTAAAAAGCAAAGATGCTAATTGAAGACAATTATTTTATTTCAATGTATACACACAAACTAATACATCTCAGATGTAACCAGGCTGTCGCAGACATGCCCAGTGTTATTGTGGATTCAGTTATTAACAGGTTTGCAATTGTTAAAAAAAGAGATAAGTTATATATTATTATCTCCACAGTAACTTAGTGGCAGGACTAAACATAGCTTGCTGGATATTACAGCGTATTTCTAAGTAAGGAATAGTATTCTTCATTTGGTAATTATGAATCATAGGCAAAGAAGTATAGAAAATACTACAATGAATTACAATTTTAGTAAAATATTACCAAGGCAAACATTTGAGGCTAAGTTCTTTAACTAATCATACAGTTTCCTAATAGCACACTTTTATACATGGTGCAAAAAGTGGAATTTGTATAATATACCTTCTTAACAGCAATCTGTTGTTTCCTACAAGTTATGGTCCAGTTTCTGTATTTGCTGTAAGCAATTCTGTTGTAATATATTTCTTTTTTGAATTAAAATTATTAGTTTAAGACATTTTGCATAACAGATGCAAAATCTGTAGTTACAGACATTGGTACCTAAAATGAAAATGGCACAATTTTCCGAAGTTGCTGGCACTTCCAGTTTCCAACTAACTGGAGTAGGATATGTGGATGCTCAGCCCATCTATATGACGAGTTTATCTTTAGGCAATCTGCTTTGAAGCTTTTGACTAATGTTTAAAGGCTAGTTGAAATGTTTTCACTAAAAATTTTTTTGAATAAAAAAACAGCTGAGTTTCAGCTAAATAGATTTTTTCATAAGTTGACTTTCCTTGGAAATGTCAGCTTTCATTGCATGAAAAAATCAGGATTATATCAATAAGTGCAGTGTTTAATTTTATTAATTTGCTAATTTTTCAAACACAAATTGCATTTATTTCCCAATTTCAAGACTCCCATCAAGAGAGTCTTGAAATATATATGTTGCATATAAGTGCTTGTGTTTAGCTTTCATTGAAAATGTCAATTCTGTCCTCAATAAAGAGTTGATCCTGGAATAATGTTTAAACTGACAAAATATTCCAGTCTGATTAAGTCTATGAATATTCATTAAATCCTCTCCATTTATTAACAGAGAGGTAGACTCCATAAAGTGAAATTTCAGAGCAGACTAATCACAAGGGAAAAAAAGAGATCTTTGTGGATTGAAAGCTTGAAAACTGAAAAGTCATTTTTTTTATCACATTTCAAAATTTTCTTGGTTATATTCTTTCAAACCATCACCTTTTTTGCGGCATCTGCCAACCAGTGTGGCACACGGTGGTGATGATTTTATGATGTGGACCCCAGCCCATGATTTGTACAAAGGTGGCCAGTTCATTCCATATAACACATTGAACAACCTTCAAGATAATGTCTTTCAGTCACTGACAAATTGGGCTGGATTAGAACACATGACTCTGAATTTGTTTTCTTTAGCAAGACAACATTAACAGCATAGATGTAAAGATTGTACATTTAAGATTCTCATCAGTCGCTCAATATGTGCTTCCTATTAGACAGTGCCTGTGCCTATTAAAATGTCTTGTACAGTTTCAAGAGAATTGTCTTTCTTCACTTCTTGTATTACATTTTGAGTAATTTCTTCAAAGAGCCTGGATATCTTTGTGAATCCCAGGTGACTCTGAAAGCTCCAAGCAGCAAATGCATAAAGCACAGGGTTAGTGCAGCTACTAATAAACACCAGTGCTCCAGAGAGATATACCCCTATGTCTGTAATCTGATTGAGGGCCGAGAATATCTTCTGGTTAGAGTCTTCTATCTGCATGGAAACAATGTCTATTATGTTAAATAGATGATGTGGGAACCAGCATACAGCAAAAGCCACAACCACATTGACAATTAGTCTTTCTGTTCGCTGCTTTGATTGGTAAGACATTTGTCTCAATTTTCTCCCAACACACATGTAACAAGTGCAGATGATGGCAAAAGGGATCACAAAACCCACAAAGGTCTCTAGTAAAAGGTTCAATACCTTCTGTTGATTAGAAGAGTAGCTGCGACCAAGGCATTGAAGACCACCATTAATTTCCTGTATGTCTTGAAACGGAATTATTGACGCTCCAAAACCAAAAGACAGGATCCAAATGAGAAAAACAACTTTGAAAATCAATGCTTTATTTTTCTGTCTCTGAACTGAGAATGGATAAAACACAGCAATGAACCTCTCCAAACTCAGTGCTGTAATGACAAACACACTAGCATACATGCTGCTGTAAACCATGTAAACCAGCATTTTGCAAATGGGGACTCCAAATACCCAGGAATCAGCAAAGGAGTAAATCCAGATGGGTAAGGTAGCCAGCACCAGGAGGTCTGAAATGGCTAGATTTAGGATAAGGAGGACTGTAGAAGATCTTTGCTTCATTTTCTTACAAACAGTCCAGATGACAATGATATTGCCAGGGATCCCAATGGTGAATGACAAGCTCAGTATTAGGCAGACAACTGACTTCCCAATGTACCATGTCAGATGGCTGTTGGCTTCTTCATTTTGGCTCATTTTGCTTTAGTGACTTGTTCTCTCTGCCATGCACACTGTGCTTCTAGTTCTGTAGCCTTAAATGATGAACCTTATCAAATGCTCTGAACTGGAGGGCATAAGATTACAGATCAGAACCAATGATTAGGAGGCTAATACAGAGTGCAAGTTCACATCCTATTGCTCATTCTTGCATGTAGCTGGTCTCATTATTCTTGTTACTTAGGAAGACTGCATGCCTACAAAGCAAAATATAAAACAAAGGAAAGCATTAAGCCTGACTCTGCACTCATATTCATGCCAGTTATGTATGGGTATAATTCCATTGACTTCAGTGGATGTATTTCTGATTCAAATGAGAGCAAGAGGAGAATTGGAGCACTAGTTGTTACATT